GACGGTGGAGGAGCAGACGGAGGGTGGAGAGGGGGTTTGGGAGGGTGATTCTGGGTTCCGGTTCTGGCTCGGAGGGTGTTGGAGAGGGGGAGGGGGCAGGGTCTCGATACCAGGCCAGCACGGAGCGGTTCCAGCCCGTGGGGGGGATTGAGCCGTCGCCTACGATCTTTCGGCCGGTTTCGGGGAAGAAGAGCACCAGCGGGAGGAAGACGATTCCTGACGCGAGGGCCAGGAACCAGAAGATGGATCGCCAGCCGAGGTATTGGCTTAGGAGTCCGCCCAGGAGAGGGCCCAGCGATGGGGCCAGGATTATCCCGAGTGAGGTCAGTCCCATGTATGTCCCCCGTTCGGCGGAGGTGATCACGTCGGCGGCGACTGCGGATGAGAGTGCCACCGTGCCGCTGCTTCCGCTGCTTTGGATCGCGCGCAGTATTAGCAGGGCTGGGTAGCTGTGCTGCAGGGCCAGGGCGATGTTGCCGGTGATGTAGATCGCGAAGCAGAGGATGTAGGCTGGGCGTCGCCCCGCTTGGTCGGCGAAGGAGCCCATGAAGGTTGGGGCGAGGCCTTGACATAGCTGGAGGGAAGGGTTAGTTGTGGGCTGTGGCTCTGCTCTGCTGGTGGGGATCAGGGGTACCATGTATGTGGTGATGGTTAGGTTGATCTGCGCGCTGGTGACGCGCAGGTCGGCGGCGATGGAGTTCAGGGCTGGGTAGTAGATGTTGGCGGATAAGGGGGAGAAGCTCGAGGCCAGGGCCGCGGTTAGGATGATGAGGCGCTTCTGGTTGGTCGTGAAGACCGAGTAGGGCTTTGTTGCTGGCAGCAGGGGAGTGGCTTCAGTGGCCTCAGTGGCCTGGGAGGATGGGGAGGGGGCCATGGCTGGGCTGGCTGATGCTCTGCCACAGTGACTGCTGATTGTACGATGCTAAACTATCGAGGCACGGACATCTGCATCGGACCATTTTGGATTGCTTCACGCAATGGATGGAATAGTCTGTATCCCGGATCCTCAAATCCGGGGCAACCCTCTGCTCGCCACCTCTCCGGTGTAAAGGTGCGAAGGCCGCAACAACTTGCCGCGTGTCACTGCCATCGTCAGAACTCCCCGATCCACGTCGCATGGCAGCTTACGCATGTATTCCCGCCAGTGCGCCAGAATGCCCATGATTCGCTGCGCCAGCATCGCCGCGGGGATCATCGCCGGCTCGAAGCCCCTGCGCAAGTCAGCCACCATGCCCAGGAGGTAGCACTGTCCACGCACGCGACGTACAGGCCCGTGAAGACAAAGTTTCCGTAGAAGTCGCCATTCGGGTGGAGGCCTCGTCGCCGGAAGAAGTCGTCCTGCGACGCCACCGCCTCGATGCGCTCGGCTACTTTCAGCAGGCGGTTCGAGGTCTGGTCCAGGTCCTGGAGGATCGACTGGATGGGTCGCACCCGAGGATCGATCCCCTTGTAGGAGCGGTGTCCGTACCCGAACAGCCTCTCGTGGCCTTGTTTGACTCGCTCGATGTATTCCGGGACGTTTTCCGGGTGCCCAATCGCCTGCAACGTCCGCTGGGCGGACTCTGTGGCGCCGAAGTGGAGGGGCCCCCATGCGGCCGTGACGGCTGTGATCAAGCAGGAGATGGGGTCGGTCAAGGATGAAGCAGTCGTCAGTGCGGAGAACACCACCAGGGCCATTCCATGGTCCGAGTTGAGCATGGCGAAGCGGCGGAAACAGGATAGCTTGACCGGGTCGGGGAGACCGGTCTTCGGATCGACCAGACCGACCATGGTGAACAGGTTCTCGTAGTATGTTTTGCCCAGGGCCGGGGGTGTGAACCGCACGCCGTGTCGGTGGCAGCTCACCAGGCCGAATACCACGGCGTAGGCTGCTGCCGTCTGGATGATGGCGCGGTCGCTCCGGTCTGTGTTACTCCGGTACAGATTGGCATCGTTGGATGCCGGAATCATGCCCGGGTGGCAGGCCAGGTATGCGGAGAGGCCCGCAACAATGAGGGGCAAGGGTGACGAGGTGCTCCTGCACATGTTACGGATCAGTGGATGACACGGGCCTGACTCGATGTCCTCACGGGAGACTCTGAACCGTCTTGTGGACAGCATCTGGCACGGCTAGCATGGCCTCGGTTAATCGATGGCGCAAGTTGTTTCTTTGGGGCACTGTCGGATAAGAGCCCCAGACGAGGAGGTGCAGCATGTCTTCGAAATCGCTCTCCCACAGCTGCTCCAGGCTGTAGCCCCGGAAGAGCAGCAGGCCCGTCTCATGGTCCCTGGAAGGTCAGCTGGCTCGCATACCGGGGCGGACTTACGAGAAGCTGATGGCCGTTGCCACGACGGTGGTGTTCTGCAGCCCCGGATCGTGGACGCGAAGCCCACTGGCGACCTGATCGGCCCGGTCTGTGCCACTGCCGGGGGCTTGGATCTGTTTCAGGTCCAGGGCTGAAAGGGCATTTCTGCGGATTGGCACTTCGTACTGCGCACCGGTGCGTGAGTCGGTGATGTACAGGATCCCGGAAGACATGGCCCTCGATGGAATCCAGCCAGGCTTCCATCCGGTGGAGTGCGAATGCTGCAGACCTGCCTATAAGTAAAGTGGACCTAATACGCCGTAGTCCGTCAGCACTGGTGCGCATCCTCCCCGGCATTCTGGATCAAACTTCTACTCTTCAACAACACATTAACAGCAGCAATGGCCGGGTACTACCTACCACCCACCACCCTTCGTGGCACCTCCTGCGGCCCTTCCATGCAGCTCCAGCTACATTCTTAATGCAAGACTAAGGTCAAATCATTCACATTTTGATTGGCTACAGTTCGAAGTATTCGTCATCTCGGTCATAACATGTCCAATCCGTCCCAGCCCGGCGCCTACTGGGGCATGTGCTCGAAAGGGTTGGCCAGGTGCTCTTGGCAGAAGGGCAGCTTGCTGACGGTCCAGATCTCGGTGTCCTGTCGCCGCCGATTAGTATACGGGACAGAGATATCCAGACGCTGGAGCTGGAAACATACAGGCTTGAGGGTCTTCTTGATCTCGGTGTCCAGGGTGCCGGCCTTGAGGGCGATGATCTCCGGGGCCGCGTCCGGGTCGTGGGCGATGGGGGAGCCACACTCGGAGCAAAAGAGACGGTGCACCGCGTTGCCCGAGGATCCCTTGCCAGTCCAGGTCTTGACGGGGCCGTTGAGGGTCAACTTGGCCTTGGGGACCACGGCGACCAGGGCTGTGGAACGTTAGTCATCGGTGCGCAGCCTGCTTCGGCGATTCAAGCAGTCTTACAGTAGGTGGAGCCGCTCTGGCGTTGACAGTCGTCACAGTGATCGTAGGCGACGATGGCCGGCTGGTCGACGTCGGCGGAGTAGGTGACCGCCTTGCACAGGCAGTGGCCGGTCAGAGGCATGGTTATTGAGGTACTTGTAGGGTAATGATTGGAGGAGAGGCGAGAGGCAGGCGACCAAGGTGCTCATGGATGAGGACCCTTGAGAACGAGGGCGAGAGAGAGCCGGTATTTATAAGGTATTTCTGCTCCCTCCCTCCTTCTCCTCCTTCTCCTCCTTCTCCTCCTTCTCCTCCGCTTCTCCTCCTCCCCTCCTGGTCGTTGACGACATGGCTGTCCGGATGGGCGCGACTAGAAGAACAATTTGTCATGGAGGAGGGGCCCCGCCGTCACGGGACGAAACTCTGATTGCCCCGTCCGTTTCACGGCTTCATCATTTCCGGCCATGGTCGGACTCTATTTCCAGCCTCCCTCCCAGCAACCGGTTTGGGCTTCGTGTTGATGGAGCCCTGACGGAGCCCTCACGGAGTCCCCAGCAATCAGGGCTCCTCCGCGTCCCCCCGGCTCCACCTGCCGGGCCTCCACAGGCCCGTCAAGTTTCACCTGCCATGAAGTATTTGTCACGCCGCTTCCCCCCCCCCCCCCCCCGGGCCTACCCGTCAGCGTGGTGGATTATTCTTATTAAGGGTTGACAATTAAACATAGCGCCACCTCCCCTCGCCCTGACTCGGGCAAGTGGGGGCCGCGATAACAGGGCACGGACCAGATCGACGGCATCCCTTCGACCACCACGGACTACTGCGGTGTACTTACTTACGAAGAACTGTCTGGTCGCCGGACGCCGAGTTGATGGACGGTAGTAGGAGCAGTACCCCATCGACGGCATCGAAAAAGCAACCACAGACCCAAAAATGGGTGTTGCTATCTGATCCTCTCGCCAGGGGGATCCTGGCCCGGGCAATCGGCATTTGCAGGGTGGGATCCCGATGCGTGGCGGCGTTGGTCAATGGAGCTCTATCTCGTGTTCGTCGCCCTCATCGCCCTTCCTCCCGAGTGGCCAACCAAGGAATCCAGATGCATGTTACTTGCTGGGGTCTGGGCTGGGCTTGGCTGGTCGGGACTACTGCTGCAGCAGCTGCAGCAGCTTCTATCTCCCAGTCTCTGCTTACGCCGGCGGCATGTGGCTTGCCCCAACAGAACGCATAATTCCCCGAGGGTGACCCAGAACTCAGGGCGCAGCTGCATTTGCGCATGGAGTACCTGATACTAACTACTCACTAACTTCTAGTGCTCCCCGTACTGTATTATGCCCAAGCAAGAAGTATGTGTGATATCTGCGACCAACCTTGCATCCACCCTACACCAAACCATGGCCTGCATGGCCTGGAGGAGTAATATAGCCGATTGAGGTCGACCGGCTGGAGCAATCCTGCCGGATTGATTCCACCGGTCCCAGGCAGCGATGTCTGTCGCTCTTTGACAAATACTTGTCGGCTCGTTGAGACGTGGAGGGTATGGAAGACCCACCAGCACAGTAATAGTCCGGCTGATGCACTCCGTCACTCCGCCACTCCGTCACTCCCTCCGCCCAGCCGAAACAGCATGAGCAGAGTCGCATTCCCTGGTGCGTGTTAATTGATTCGATTCATTTCACAGTCCCTCGTAGAAATTCCCAACCAAGAGAAAAAAATTACACGAATGTGGGATCCGAAGAAAAAAAAAAAAAAACTTCGCCCAATGCGAGACTCGAACTCGCAACATTCAGATTAAAAGTCTGACGCTCTAACCAATTGAGCTAACCGGGCAGAGGTTATGTCGAGCTTCTTTTTTTGATCCTACTAGCGAAGGTATGTGGCAGCACACCATTCTATCTAAACTCGCCATATAATCGCCCACTTGGACTGTTTGAGCCTTTCTTGACATATTCCTGATAATATATTTACACTAGAGTCTCTATCTGCGTTGCAGAGATCCCAAGGGCCTCTTGTTACCAGCCTTAGGACGAATCAGGGCTACGGAAACAGACCATGTATTCATTACAGATGGGATTACTTATCTCTGCTGCTTGAGCTGACAGTATGATCCTGTGGCTGTCAAGAAGCTCTTTATATCTGGTGTAGAAGCTCTTCCGCCTCATCATAAGGTCAATGGATGGAATTTGCTTAGTGAGGTGCTAAAAAAGAACCCACCATTACTATCCACAGGGCGGCATGCTATTCACTTTGTCGGTAGTCCAGAGAGGTCCTCTCAGTCGATATTATACTTCGTCGGAGGTAATAGCATCCAAGACATGCGTTGAATCAAAAGCGATTGGCTTAATGTTCCAACGAGTCAGTCCCTGTGCTTTGATCTTGACATGACAACCATCTCTCCACGGTCGTTTAGCAGCAACACTTTCCAATATCCATATATGAACCGAAGAGACTTCATGTAACTCGACCCATAAATAATGACTACATGTCTAATCCAGGACGTAAGACCCCCACAAATTTTGACTGGAGTCCACTCCATCCACACTAGGTCAGTGGAAAACCATAACCATAACCGCTTCAAAAAAAAAAATGAGTGTCATCACATCACTCCCAACCAAACATCACCTGCAAAATTCATACGCAGAACCACCCTGGAAAATACTTCCGGGGCTGAACGCCTCATGTGCCCGCCGACGAGATCCTCCAGCGCAAACGAACGGCTCACTCGCCGTGTACCACCCCCTCACCCGAACATCATACCAAGCAAAGCACAAGCCTTCCCATAGTTCCCGAGAACACCGACGCATTGCCATGTCACGTCGCCCCCCACCCCAAAAAAGGGGGGTGGGACGCATCGGTGCGCTTGTGGCTGTGTAACCCCCAAACCAAAATGGCAGATGGTCTGAGATAGCCTTTCAGTCGCGGATCGGAAACCTGCAGGTATAAATTTCGGAGAACACTGACGGCGGGGGTACTGGGGTAGGACTACCTACCTTCCTGGAGCTTAGGATGTTTGGTTCGGGGGAGCTGAGGTCCACATGTGGATGCGTTCGTCGTTGTTCATCATGATGATGATGATGATGATGATGATGATGATGGTGGTGGTGGTGTGGTGGTCTGGGCTTGTGGTACGGTTGATGGAGGTCGGTGCGTCGCGACATGTGGCGATGGTGGTTTAGTGGCATATGATTCTGGTAGGGAAAGGAAGGGAAGGGGGTTGAGGTGATGGGTCTGGGATCTTGGGGATTGGTCTGTTTGGCTGGGTATCTGTTCCTGGTCGGGGAAGGTTTCTGTTTGGTGCATATCGTCTACCTTATGAGATGGGTTGATATGATGACTCGTAGGTCGTGGTATATTACAAGGGGTTTTGTACTATTGATGAAGTGCATAGTTCTTGTTGTTTTGTTTGATTTACTGTAAGAGGGTGTAGAGATTGGTTTAAGTTGTTCTTTGTGGACAGTCTAGGCATTTACTAGTAACACTACTTTATATATCTTGCTTGAGTGGTAGGGGGTTGTCTTGTCTTGAGGCCTGCCAGTTTCGACACTAGAACTGGAGGTGCCCGCCTTATATAGAACACTGGAAACGAGAGAATACTACATCTCACTGTCATGAACCTTCAATCCAAACCCCAGTCGCAGATGGCTAGAAATAGCAGCGAGCGATCTCCAAAGCCGGTACCGGGCGGCCGGCCGATCCCACCCGCGCGAGTTCCGGACTTCCGCCCCCGGTTCCGGGCCCGGCGGCCTCGCGCTCAATGGCTTCCTTCGCAGGCCCCAGGCAGCCAGAGTCAGCCCGGGCGCCGAGTAGTGGCAGTGGAGGGCGAGTAGAAATACTTTATCGATCCGCGCCGGCTCTTGTTTTGCTCGGCTTGGTGTCTGGTAGGGTAGTGACAGTGACTGTGCCGACTCACTACCAGACAGACCTCCCTCCCCTCTTCCCTTCACCAAGCCCATCCCCCGTCATACACGGGTCTATACTAACTACCCGCTGGATTGCTTGGCCTGCCACTAGCATCGCCGGGTAACATAACACTAACAGCTCCTCTCCCAGCGCGGAACTGCGGGCCTCTGCGTCTGGCCAGGCGCCGGAGATTAGCATGGCGCTATCTCCGCCCCCCGGGCCCGACCCGATGCTTGGCCCTCGACATCTTCACCTTCCCTCGCCATCATCGCGACTGCAGCAGCGACAACCTCCCCCACGGCATGCGCGCTCCCTCCGTAGACTGAACAGTCGCATCCCCGCCACGCCCGCAAGAATGGAGCCCGCCGAGCGCACGTAAGTGGCCTGTCCCGGCCGCAAAATTCTCTGCCCTGATCGGACGGCTGACGTGGAGGGGATTATAGACCGTCCCCACCCGCCAAAAGGAGCAAAAAGGCTTGCACGGAATGCAGGCAGCAGAAGGTACGACTGACGCCGGACCACTTCACAATGGGATCTACCAGTCATCGACTTCTAACATCACCGAGGCAGGCAAAATGCAACGCGTACCTGACCCCCAGTCAACCGTGTACCCGCTGCTCTAAGCTCAACATCCAATGCATCATCTCGGACCCCTTTCGTCGCGAACACAAGCGCAAGTGTGTCTCCCCCAGTCGTCACCGCAGAATGATCCAGGGTAACCCTCTCAAACAGACGCCTGTCGGAGCTGGAACAGGAGACCGACGAACTGCGACAAAGATTACGATTTACGCAATCCAATGACCCCCGGCCTTCGCCTATCGCCATGTTAACCGCTGCTGCGGAAATGGAGGTACACTCGGTCCCCAGGGGCGGCGACCTGACCCTGCCCCCCGGATCACAGACCCCTTCCGTCGAGAACCAACAACAGTTGCTACCCTCAATCAATCTCGAGCCCTTGCGCGGACCGGGAATGGACCCAGGGATACGCGCTTTAGATCCTACAGAGGCACGCGCCGTGAACAACGTGCATCTAACAGGAAGCGAAATCGACGAGATGTTTCAGATGTATGTATATGCTACCCCATGTACTGCGGGGGTTTGAAGCTGACGTAGCAGGACAGATTCTTCCATCAATATGCGTCGTTTCTACCGATTCTCGACCCCCGGTGCACACCAAACGCGGTTTACGCTCAGTCTCCATTTCTATTCTGGGCCATTATTGGTGTCGCGTCCAGAACGTATGCGAAAAACCCAACGTTGCTGATGGCGCTCGCGCGAAACGTAATCGAGATGGCCTTTCTGTCGGTCGGGTCAGGGAATTCAGCCTGGCACAACATCCAGGGCATGCTGCTGGTTCTTACGTGGCCATTCCCCAAGGATGTCAATGTGACGGATGTGATGTTCCCCCTGAGCGGCATGTTGCTACATATCGCCATGCAGAATGGGCTTCACATCCCCATGTCCAGCAATGAGTTCGTTAAGCGAAAGAGACTTCCTGCCCCGTCGGAAGCGGAGATGATCAGACGCTCGGAGCTGTGGGCTCACTGCGTCATCGTCTACCAGCGGTAAGAAACCCGCCCTCTCAGCAACACATGGCTAATCAAACCCAGTGCGTGCGTGACAAAAGGACAACCTCCGCGCTCGCTAATAGACCTGGAGCCGGACGGGAATCTAAAACATATGCTGTTCGAGAGAGTCTCCCCGTCACTGGCCCTCGAGTTGAAATGCGAGGACCTGATTACGCGGTGCAGCGTGGCCGTGCTCGAATTCGGGGTGCGTACCCTATCTATCGACCAGGAAAAGTCGTTCGATATCCTCCTACGCGCATTCGACGCCCAGGCGGTTGACCTCGAAGCCCAAGCATTGTCCAGTACGTTGATGACCCTTCTGACCCAAGTAACCACCAGCTAAAATGCATGCAGCGTACGACCGGTTCTCCACAACCATGTGTCGCCTCAGCATCCAGATCTTCCACCTCTTCCGAAACCCCAGCTCGTACTCGTCCGGATGTCTTGGGCAGCTTCTCATCACCGCTTGCAAAACCGTCGAATGCATCCAAAACATGGGCCAAACCATCGTCAACCTGGCTGCCGCGCCGGTGCAGCTGAACTACGCACTACTTCTGGCCTCGGCAGCACTGCTCCGGATTCTGAAGGGCCCCCAGTGGTCGACCATGGACGTCGACAAGGCCAAGTCGGCGTTCTTCGGCTCCATCAACCTAGCCCGACAGATGACCGTGGACACGTACGATATCGCAGCGAAGACGGCCATCGTGATGAACCAGCTATGGAACAGCATGCGAGCGTTCCGCAAGTCTGATGGGAGCGAGTACGTCGCACTCCGGATCCGCAGTCGGCTAGTCCTCAGCCCCGTTATCGATGCAGTCTGGTGGTGGCGTGATGAGTTCGATCCGGGGTTCCATAACATGCCAGCTACCCAGGGCAACGTGTCAGACGGTAAGTCCATGTGATGATGCTAGAGAGACCTGGGCGTTTCACTTACACTAGAACAGGCGTCGACACGAGTCGAGAAAACCCCGGGAATGCAGCGACTGCCGCCATCGACCGACCGGATTTCTCCTACTTCGACGAGCAGTTCGAGGCGGACTTCGAATGGGCCCTGACGGACGAGGTTCTCTATGGACAGCCGGACATGAACCGGTCGCTGTGATGCTGGTCATGCAGGGTAGCATGCAGCAGGGGGACAGCAGTTAGGGTACCGTGTGCGAACAGTGCGTTGCATTTCACGAGTCGCGACGGTTATCGCCGGGGACGAGATTACAGATACCCCTGACTGGCGCGAGTCAGCGACACGCCTGGGTAGGATTCCACGCGGGCATTGGAGCTATCGTGGATACTGGATAGGCATGCATGCACGGGGGCCGGCTTAGGTGCTTACAATCGACGAGCCTCCAGCTTAATCTTAACGAG